TGATTATTGTAGTAAAATTTAACAATCACATCTTAACAACATTTTTCTTCTGCTTATTGTTAATTTCACTCAACTGTGTGCAGGCGATGTGTATAAAAAAAATGAATTTTTGCTATACAGTGGCCACTGTGGCTACAACTGCCAGTTCAGTCAGACAACTCACGTTTTAACTGTTTATTACAGTAGTATAACATAGCTTTAGATTTTCCCCACAGATATCTTTACATAGAGATATTGGGGAGTGATGAGCAAATACCTTAAACCCTTAACAGGAGCCTACAGGTGGAGGCTGGGGCGGTGGTGGGGCGTACAGAATGACAGGCAGCAATAATGATGCAGGGCAGCAGCGGCATTGACAGAGCAAAGAGGGAGAGCTGGGAAATTTTGCTGGTTAAACAGACCGCCGGATTGGAAGCTTGGTTTGTGATTATGGAGAGTGAAGCATGTCGTGTGTGTGTGTATAGCAGTGCAGCTCGAGTTGACTGCCGGCAGGCTTCGCTCCATTTATGGTATAATGTTTGGTAGTTAGCTAAAATGCTAGGCTGTTGTGACAGTAGTGCAAGGGGAGAAGAGCCTTTATTGTCTTCTTATACAGCAATGTTTCTGTAAAGTTTGCTAACATTAGTCACCATAAACAGCTGGTTATACAAGAGCAAGGAAAGCTGCAGCAACAAAACCTCTGACTTTCATAAATATAGTGTGTTTTATGGTTTATAAATTCAACCTTTCATGTGTGAGACGAAGAATGAGATATTTCTTCTCTCAAAAGCTCCATTGTCTCACTTTACAACTACTTGGAACTACTTATTTCGTATATTTCAATACTGATTCATGTCAAAGTGTAACAGACAACCATGTCTCACCCTGCAGGTCAGTAATAGTTTCTGTCCCAAGGTTGCGATCTCTTTTCTCCTCCTCCAGCTCGGCTTGCAGCCCCATCAGCTGCTTCTCCAGCTCCATCTTGCCGTTTTCCAGCTGGCTGCACTTTTCCTGCATCTCCCTGAGGCTGACCTCCAGGCTCTCAGCCTGTTTCTGCGCCTCTGCCTGACTCTTCTTCAGCCGCGCTGCCGCTTCCTGCTCGGCCTGAAGCACGGCGTTGGCCTCTTCCAGCTACAGATGAGAAACGGACAGGATGAAACATTTCCCTGCAGGCTAAACTGGGTCAGTGATGCGGCGAAATTAAAGGGATTTAATGGGGGAAAAGAAGAAGAATGAAAACAGAGGGCACAGTTGCTTGCTTGAATATGGATTATTAATTCAGCATGTTTGATTTACATACGTGCGCTTATTTAACTGTGAAGCAATATGAAAATGTATCAATAAAAGAAAGACAAAGCTGTGTAAAACTATGTTAGGTGAAGCTCCCTCTCACTTGTTTCTGCAGCTGGATGTTTTCCTCATTGGAGATCTGTGAATTCTGGTTCTTCTTCCTAAGATCTTCTAGTTGGTCCCTCAGGTTGTTCACTAATGAGTAAATACAGAGTTAATGCAGTATTTTATGTAACACACTCAGTGGACCCTGTAAATACTATGATGAATTGATAGACAGCATATTTAACAATACAGTATATACTGTGATAAAATACTGGGGGTGCAGAGCTCCCAGGTATCCTTGTGGTTTATTACAACGTTTTAATGAGTTTAACAGTCAGACTGATATGTTAGAAATGCAATTTTAAGCTTATTCAGGAGTTCCAAGCTTAATGGTTAGAAAGGATATTTCCCAAAGTGCTCACATTCGTTTTCCAGGCTGCGTTTTCTGTCAGCTTCAATCTCCACCTTGCGCAGGTTCTCGGCACTCTGGTGCTGCAGCAGAGCTCGCTCTCTCTCCAGCTGTCTTAGCGAGGCCTCGACTTTCTGCCTGCTACTCATCTTAAAATACAAACAATGTTGTGAGTGGAATAATTTCTGATCTACTTTATTATATCCTGATTGAAATTGCATCCATCCATCCTTACCTCCTTGTCTAATTCTTTCACCAGCTTGTCTAAGCGGTTGGTGGCATTTCTGTGGAAAAATAAGTTTTATTGCAGAGCTCTTCTCACAAATCCCCTCGTAAAAACGCACCTGCCTTTTGTTCTGTTATAATCACTGTAGGTACAAGTTTCCAGATATTCAGTTTTTCTTCATTTATATGCAAATGTATCATACAAAGTACTGGACATTTCCAAAATACAAAAGACACAACAGACAAAGACAGCAAACCACTAACCAACTGTTCTTTGTACTCTGTACTTTGCTGATGTAAAATGTCGTAAGTGATATATTTTCGTTCTTTTAAATCTACCCTCATCAGAAGCTTTGTAGGATGGGATGTCACTTCCTGTTGTGTAAAGCAATCAAACAGATTTCCTGGATTATCCAACAGCTGGCACACAGCATGAATGCCAATCTTCTCAGTGATGGCCTGTTTTAGTTAATAGTTATTATTGTTTAAAAATGAAAGGCATAATGATCAATATAAACAAGCTACATGCACAAGCGTTAAAATGTTGGATAAAGGTTGGATGATTTTGTGCTCATTTCATGATGTTCTTGAGGTTAAGAACTCTTTAACCCAAAGTTTTGGTGAGTTATAGCTTGAAAGGGATGCTTTATCATGAATAAAAAGTTAACAAATGTTTTCAGTTTGTACAGTAAAAAGTAACTGTTAAAATATTATAATAATATAGTACAACAATAATAAAAGTAATATTTGTAATGTCAGAACGAGTAAAGAAGCACTGCTGGTGCTCTGCGTTTGTGTGTGTTATTTGTCCAGTCGTACTTGCACTTGTGCTCCAGCTCATTTTTGGCCTGCATGTCATGATCGCGTTGCTCCTCCAGCTGATGAAGCTTTTTCTGCAGCTGCTCAGACGACCAGAAAAGAAAATACTGTTACCTAATGGTCCTTTCCATATTTTTTTTTTAATGTCTTTTATCTTTCTTCTAAAAACACATACCTCTTTATTACTCTCTGAGCAATACTCCTTATCGTTTTCCTTACTGTCCTCTGAATCCTCCACAGAGCAGTTGTTATTTACCTTCAGTAGCCTGAGAGAGAGAAAGGAGAGTCATGAATGTCTATTCTGTGGTAATTTTCCAGTCCTTATAACATCAAACACCATCCACATGTCCAGATCTCTACAAGCAAGTGACGTATTTTACCCTAACCACATTTATAATACAAGCTCATCAAGGTTTTGTTGAATGTTCATCAAGACACGTTACATTTATTGCATTATTATTACTATTTATATAATCTCAAAACCTGAAACCATGTGCTGTGGAAAAAGCAATAAGGTCTGAAGATCTTTCTTACATCTGGATGGGTTTACCTTCGTAGAAACCCAAAGGATGTCTCCAACCCGCGCTGTCTGTTGCCAACTGTTAACCATGAATGGTGGGCAACTATCTCTGGGAACTATTACCTGCCACATGGCTGCATAATGGCCAAGGAATCTGAAGCCATTTTATGATCACTTTAAGACCAGTTGTGCCCTTTAGCAAAAACTGTTCTCTCATGGTGTTCATAATTGTAATTAATGGAAATGCACCCATATATTATAAAAAACTGAAGATGATTTCAGAAAAGTTGTATTCTAAAATGCACAGTAAAGAGAGTTGTCATCGCAGCCATACTTTTTATTACCACAGTATTCAAATATTAGGAGAAATTTGGGCTATTTTTACCACCACCTGTGTACACTTGTACATAACAACTTGTACACAACATAACACGCACTGCTCAGACGACAATAACTGATATGGTTTCAGTGTAAGATGAATTTATGAATTGAGCAAAGTTACTGCATTTGGTATGAAAGACTAATATAAGATTAAATAACTATAGGACCATGAATTAAACACACTGGTGTTGTTTTTTACTTCTTCTCCTACCAATTTAGGAGCAGGGCTTCAAAAATTAGACGTCAGCATAAGCAAAGAGGGCATTTAAAGGGGCTGTCAGAACAAGGCAGCAGTGTGGAACCTGAACAGGCTTACAGTGTCTGACTGGTGTAAGACTGAATTAAAGGTATGGGTGTGAAGCTGCCTTTTTCTACCTCTTGCATTTTAGGCGCAGCACTGTCTTTAAACCTGTTTCCTGAATCTAGAAGCCCTTGTAAAAGCTCCCACACATGAGAGCTATATTTTGTTCTAGTTAAAATCACGGTATCACAAAAAAAAGTACATTCACAAAAGGTCAGCAAACACTAATCCAGACAAGATTTCTATGCCCAGCAGCATAATCGAGGTAAAAAGAAATGTCAGAATAAAACACTCACTGGTCCTCCTTGAAGTAAGTGAAGCCGACAAACGGTAGCTGGTTGCCCACAAAGGCTTTGGGTGGAGAAAAGGTCTCAACATTTCCTTTATCATCCTCTATGTCGTCAAAGTTACTGGTGTCTATGTCACTGTTCAGCTCTGGCACAACTGGAGCCACAGCTGGAGGACAGAAACAGAGAGAGAGAGAGTCATGGAGCAAAATGGGGAGAGGAGGAGGAGGTGCAAATGATGCTGATGTTTTATATAAACTGTGGTGATCAAAGATTAAAACCTAATGCTACAGGTATTTAAATTTAAAGTACATCTTCAAGAAACTCTCAGCAGTTTTCCAGGAGTAAAACTCTATGCCAACTTTGGCACCGTTTGCAGTAGGAGTAAGCTCTCTGCAGGTTGGCGTGAGGCTGACACCACTCCTTTTCCCGGTACAGTGCTTGCTTTGTGCCCCACACACAGTGCCTTTCACCAGCAAAGCCTAAACGCCCGCTCTCTCCTCTCGCAGGAGCAGCCGTGCTTTAAAAGTCTGCACAACAGGCAGACAAAAATGTGTCAAAGGGCCAATCAGATAAAACTAAGCTAGTCTTTTAACCTATAAATAGTTCCTAATTGAGAAAAAAAAAAGCAGCCACTATGGATCGAGTTCCTCAGACCAGTGCATTTCTGGCTCTGAGCAAAGAGCTCATTACTGTTAGGTCAAGACACAACCCTCAGCGTGACAAATGTGACTCAAAGATGGAAGAGAAAATACAGGGAGAGATCAAGCACAGGAATGAAACAAACGAGGGGGGAAAAAAAGGCAAAGTGCGGTGAGACAGAAAGAGACACGGGCCGCTCCATGGAGGCCCTTGTGGCACGACTTCCCAGAATGCTCTCTGATAGCGGGCGGCTAATGACAGGCAGCCGTGGCCACAGTGAGAGTGAGAGAGCGGGAGCAGCCCTCCAAACTGAGACGCCCCTCTCATTAGGCTAGTCCACACAGGCCGCAGAGCCTGCCCCGCCCGCCGCTACGGGGGGTGCTGCCTCCCGTCCCATCCATCGATTCATCCATCCATCCGTGGTGCTGGTTTATTTTCCCTCAAACTTCCCAATGCTTAATAAGTTTGATAAACATGAAGACAACTGGGAGAATCGTCAGTGGAGCCCAAACATGGAAAATCTCCTGAGTCCTAGCCACACACAGCAGGGAGTAAAGTCATCCTCAAGCGCGCACACACACACACACACACACCAACACACACACACACAGGGGTCTGGGAGGTACATACAGCTCTGCGGGATGCCACAATGGGAGCAGGGTCAGGTTTTGAGTGTGCGTTTGAGTGCGTGTGTGTGAGACAGGACATGCATGTGCAGTGCGGCAGTGGCACAGTAGTGGTTTTGTGTTTCAGACTGCCAGGCAGTCTTAACTTCAGTCAGAAGTTCTGTCTGTTGTCTTAATCAGAGCCAGGTGAAGCAGAGAGACGGAGAGGAAAGCATAAAGAGCCTGCGTGTAATCCTATACAGACAGAGGTCCTGTTCATATTACCAATATATCCTTTTATTTATTTCCTTCCTTCCTTCTTTCCTTCCTAAGTGATGCTTAATCTGATAGAACTGTTTAAGGGGACATTGAACCATGACTCTATACAGATACTCAATGTGCAGTGGTCAAATGCTAAATTTAAGAGTAAAGTATTACCTTAATAATGTTACCACTGATGGATATCATAACAGAACAAAATGGTGAAAAATATATTGTTTTTATACATATTGCAGTATTTATGAGAAATATATACTTTTTCACCTCCTTTCACATCTTTTATTCTTAAAGTTATGTATTTAGCCAATAATTAAACACTATACATCACAAGGGCCTGTTCATGTAACAATCTAAATACATAATAAAAGATTATTGTCAGCAGTTATTATCATTCAGTTCAATTGATATTTTATAATATTTGGACCGTCAGTTTCGGGGCTACACAACTTTAACAGAACTGCTCTATTGGTGGATACTTTCATTATAGTATTGGCTGACTACTTTCATTATTAGTATTGCTGGATACTTTCATTGTAAGTATTGCTGGTATTGGTGGTGCAGAGCCAGCATGCCATGTTTAACCCATTGAAAAAGGTAGGGCCATCAGATTTAAGTGTCAGCTCTTAACTTGCACATTTAAGAGCTACTAAAGTATAAACTCCTCAGCTACTTACTAGTGTTAACAAAACACTGTATTATTCCATTTAGTATAGAGTCGGTAGTAAAAGTTTCTTATATCTTTTCAATTCCCTTTAATCTATTTTTTCACCCATATGCAGCTGATTATCCTGCAGGTTTTTGTGCACCATGTGCTCTGCTGCTCTGCACAGCATCCAGTCATATAATGTAAGATAAGAGCGGGGAGCATATGGAGAGCATGTGTACCATATATACTCAGGCTTATTGGCTCAGGAGATGGAAATAAACTATGAACTAAGACTGAAAAGAAACAGGTCTGCAGAGGAATGGGCTGGAGATGATAAGAAGTGTAAGCAAAATCAGAGGAATGGTAATGAGAGGTAGAAAGAGAACACTTGACATATTACCAGAGATGGAAAAGGAGAAATCTGAATCTGAAGTATAAGGATTTGAAGAATACACAAGATTAAAATAACATGCACATTACACACTTACTCTCTCGGATGTTGTCAAAGGTCCACTGATTGTTCTTGAAGAATGGGTGACATTTGATCTCATCCACTCCAGTGCGGCCCAGACGAACCTCCCTGCACACACCAACAGGACCAAGACTGTGAGCAGAGCCTCCTCAGGCTGAACACAAAACACACCCCTGCTCGTCCCCTCCACCCACCATCGTCATCAACATGTCATCCTAAACACACTGGCTAGTGGAGTGACCACTAGGCATTGACCACACTGACCAGCATGGAGAGCCACATGACCACTGGTGGACACTGGAACCTCCTCTAACCAGACAGATAATATAGATCCAGGAGGAGAGAGGGAGTGAAGACAGAAGGATCAGACTGCAGGAGGCAACATCAACAACTGACTGACTGGCTCAAACACAACTGCTGGAGCTGCCTTTAAAAGTCTACACACAGATACACTCTCCCTTTCTCTTCCCCCTTTCCTCCCTCCTCCACCACTGGGTACAGGGCTGGAGGGGTGCGGCAGTTTGGGCTTGCCACGTGTGGGACATTCCAGACCCAGCCAAGAGGAAGAGAGGGCAGGGGCGGGGAGGAAGAAAGAGAGAAGGGAGAGTTTTTAAACCCCCGCAAAAAATGAAATAAAAAAATTCATGCAACCAAGCCAGGCTTACAACAAGCTGTGTTTCAATGCCCGGAAAACTGCAGGAGTGAAAAGGAGAAAGTTACGGCAGAAAGGGGAGGATGGAGAAATGGAAAGTGGCACCAAGAGAAAGAAGAAGAAAAAAAATTTAAAATGGAGAGTGATAAAAAAACATGGAAAAGAGGAAAAATCAGGAATGATTCAGCAAGATGGGGTGACAGTGACAGAGCATGAGTGGTGAATGAATGCATTGGTCAGTGTTCAAGATATGTGTGCGTGTGTGTGTGGGTGTGTGGCTGGGCAGCCGTACACATGAGAGATTCTGTCTGTGGTGGGAGAATAGTGAGTGAGAATGTAAATAAACTGAGTGAGGAAAAATGAAAGGCTGCTCTGTATTAAGGTAGAAAGGGCCTGTGTTTGAGCCCTCTCGGGGGCGGGGCTTCTAATGTAAACAGGAAGTGGTTTCTTCCAGGGGGATGGTCCACTAACCAAGGGCTGGGATCATCAAGACATAATATTACATTTATTTAAGGATAAGTCAGATCATATTCTATATTTTTCTATTTGTCAACAAATCCCATGAAATTACCAAAACCAAAAATATGTGTGTAGTCTGAGCCTGATACAAGTTCTGTGCCATAAAGCTCCATTGTTGTCCAAACAATATTAAGAACACATCTTTTGGACTGTTGCATTGACATGGTCCTTCTTTATAATAACCACTGGGCACTGTAGTTTATTTGGGGTAAATCCCACTGCTGTAAATATTCACTATCACTTCACATTAAATGTGTATCGATCTGTGGTTAAAAACAGTCCCAAACAAATGCACTTATCTGAGAAACATTACGCTACAGTGCTAAGCTAATACTTACATCTTCAGTAGCAACCAATGAGACTGTTGGTTTTGTTTTTTTCATGGGATTTATTGACAATAAAGAAAAGACTATAAAAATATAGATTAAGGTCAGACTTGTATTTTGAACTTGTTTCTTGAACTACAGAACCACATACTTCATCAGCTGAACTGGAAGTTAATTTATTCCTACAACACCATGCCTTATTCCTCTATCCTTCATCAGAGTGGTGGAAACCACCAAAAACATTTGGTGAATAAAGCACCGCAGACTGAGGAAGAGTTGTGCAACATGTTTAAATCTAGATGACTTTTGTTAGCTTTGTTGTGTCTAATCTTTGACACAGTTCTCACACTGTTTATTTAAGCTGTTGCTCTACCGTACAGTGTGACAGATGTGTGTTTATCACGTCCCATTATGGAATTCAACATGTATCAACATGGGGAAACTGCAACCGTCTGCAAATGACAGGCAGCCTAAAATTGTTAAAAATTCTGAATCCTTCTTAAAGCACAAAGCACAAGTGTTAGTGTTTGTCATTCCCATGTGCGAACCTGTCAGTAAGAAAGGCACAGATGAGGTCTTTGGCATCCTGAGACATCTCTACATCATCTGGGAAGATGAGTGAGTTCTTGTGGTTCATGATCTTCCCATAAGTTCCAACCAGGGACTCGGCATAGAAGGGAGTTTCACCTGTCAAAAAAAGTCATCTTGTACAATGATTGATGGACATTTTTAGGATTTTAGCTGACTAAAACCACAAAAATGAACAGGATGTATCTGTCAGGCTGACTTGTTGATGATTATGCCAATGACTCAACGATTACAGCATCATAGCTTCCAACATCCAAGACATCATATCCTGTTAGTCCATAAAAATTATGGCTGTATATATGGTAGGCCACTTACCGACTAGTAACTCATAGATAAAAACACCGACAGACCACCAGTCGCACTCCCGGCCATAGAAACCATCACCACCCTGGGACTGGAGCACCTCAGGGGAGATGTAGTCGGGTGTGCCTACAGCTGTGTCACAGTGCACCATGCCTGTCTGCAAGCAGGAAAACACACAAGATTTACTATACAGAGAAAACAAGAATAGAATAGTTGGGACAGTAAAAGTAATACAATTTCTATTGTGCATGACTCAAAAGAGCTGTTAAACAGCCCCATATAAAGCAGTGGATGTAAAAAAAAGAAACTTAAAAACACATGCTGGTGTCTCCTTTTATTGTGACCAACTGAATTTGTAATTTTTTTTATAAAATACATCTTTTACAGTATTCCAGATGTTCTGAGTGGGAGAAATAATTTAATCTATTCAGGCAGAGATAATTTAGGGCAGAGTTCAATCACTGTAAGACTGTTTTGACCTTATTTATGTGACACATTCTGTTTACGGGTAGATTTTCAGAGAGCTCTGATGTGTGGAACAACTTGAGGAACAGCTATTTAGAAATTGCTGTGGTAAAAACAAAAAGGTAGGAAAAACACTTCCTTCCCTACACCAGAGGCGGGGCCTCTGCTGTAGTCTAGATTGGTTGTTTAGCACAATAAGGTCTGAGGCCTTCTCAAAACAACCTGATGCAACAGTGCTGTACTAAGCTTCACTTATCAATCTGAACACTTGGTGGTGCACTAGGGCACTGAAAAAGGCCACTGGTGTTGAGACAGAGCAGTCCATCCACTTTCTATTTGATTATTTCAAGAGAAGTATTCTCTTTAATTTTAAAGGATGGAAATTCTTCTGACACAAAAGGTCCAAACCCAACACAGCTGACAAAAAACAACAAAACTCTAAACCTACCGAGTCCATCTTCATACACGTGCCAAAATCTGCCAGTTTGAGGTGTCCGTGTTGGTCCAGCAGCATGTTGTCGGGTTTAACGTCACGATGGATGAAGCCCATGGAGTGGATGGCGTTCAGTGCCAGCACCACTTCAGCCGTGTAGAAGCGAGCCCACTTCTCAGGCATGTCGTAGTTCATGGTGAGTGTGACCACGTCGCCTCCAGGCATGAACTCCATCACCATGTAGAGGTGGCGTTCATCTTGGAAAGCACAGCACAGCTAGGAGACGACAAACGTAGTGACTTACTTAGACGGGATCATTAAGCCATAGCTTAGATACAGATTTGACTACCAGGTGTGGGTGCGTTATCTCTGCATGATCTGTGTTCAACATGCAACAACAGACCACATAGATTATTATCTCCAACTTGATGCAAACATCATGACTGTAGTAATTACCCCAATGCAGAGCTGGAAAAAAAGAAATATAAGTTATATATTGTGATCTAAAATTAATTTGGGTTATCCTATAGGCTTTGGTTATTGTAATACATGTTAAATGTTGTCTTTTCAGCTCTTTAAGGAAGCTTTACAGTTAAATGATGTGTATTTTGATCTTTTGGTCATCATACTCACATTACTAGTTAGTTTGATTATTAAGCGTTTCCTAAATTACTTTATTTACCTTTACATACATACCTGCTTGCTGTTTATACTGGACACAACAAAGCCAAACTGATTCTGTGGTTTTAAGTATTTATGGTTCTGTCCATACTGCTCATATCATCGTTAAACTATTTACATATCGAGGCTAAATTCAATTGTACTGTGTATTGTGCGTATTGATTGATGCTACATCCATGGATATTATCACTACCTCATTAATTTAATGTTTATTCTGTACATTAATTCACCTTTATAAATATCTTTATGCACTTTTGCTACTGTTGGTGCAATAACAGTTAAGTACACAGGTCAATCCCAAAGGACAGGGTATAGAAGAGGTTTTATAAAATTCAAGCAGATAGAACATAATATTCAAAAAGGTTCTATTAATAACTGGTAGGCATTATAAAACATTTTGATGTGCGTGTTTAAAGGGGCCAGACATCCACCAAAAACCTATTCAGGGTCTGTAGTAGAAGGAGGATGGGTCTGACAGAGAATGTCAATGAAAGACATGTTCAGACCTGGACGACCCAGGGACTGTTGGAAAAGGCCATGATGTGCCTCTCCTCCCAGAAGAAGGCAGAGTCTGACCGCTTGATCATCTCAAATTTGTTGAGCCGCTTCATGGCGTAAACCTTCTGAGAGGCCTTGTGGCGGACCTACAGCAGAGGAGGGCAAGGAAAAAAAGAGATGTTTGCATGTAAACACTGATAACCGTACAAGGACAATAAGAACAAGATAGTAAGAATGTCACGATGACCAAGATAACATGACAAACAAAGACAAACAAAGAGAAGCAGAAAGGGGAACCCATAATTACAGGCACATACCCATAGAAAGACATGCTTACACAGGATTTGAGGCACAAACACACTAAGCAGCAGAGGGGAGGGGGCCTCTCTCCTCCACACCCCCACACCAGACTTCACACTCTCTCTCCCACTCACTGAGCCTGTCCAGACTTGTTTCTACCACAAGACACTCAGCAGAGACCAGATTCAAGCTTCCTCAGGCACAAGAGACAAACATCTGGTAAGACTGGGAGTTTAAAAGGAGTTACTGCCGGCCCTAATTACTTTTTTTAAACTCAAAGTCAGTTAAGTTGGTCATGATGAGGAGAAAGATGCCAATTATATTCGAAACAGCAAAAAAACAAGTGGCAGATGTCAGATATTTTATATTTTGGTAGATTGTTGCTCCCTCTAGTGGTTCACATTTCTGGTATTTTTGTTCAAAATGCTCTATTTAGAAACATCTGGAGAATCTTTCCATCAAATCTCCCTGCACCGCTGCATGATTTAAAATCGAAAAAAGCTGCAGGGAACAACAAGATGCTTATTAACCAACTCTCTTTGCAGACAAAAGCCTCACCAGCTGCACTTCTCCGTAGGCTCCTCTCCCAATCAGCTTCACTTTCTCAAAATCTTCCAGCTTCACCTGCAGCTCCCGCAGCTGACTCACCGTCTTCTCATCTGTGGGACGGACACATACAGTACGTTACCATGGCAACAGACGGGTCAAGCTCCAACCGTTTGAGATTCAAAGGAACAGGTTAGCTGTTAACTGCTGGAGAGAGGTCAGTGAGAGTTTATTAAAAACTTACAGCAGTCTAATGTGATATATTAAAGTTGTGTTAGTGGGGGCGCCCTAGTAGCTCCACGTCCCATATACCGTGGCTGAGTCCTCTCTCCCCCCTTTTCTGTCACCCTTAAGCTGTAACTATCAATTAGAGGCAAGAAACGTTTTTAGTTGAGAAAGGCAGTTAAGCTGTATGAAAATATTTTCAGAAGACATGCTGCTGTATGTACTTTCTCTAACATAAGACCCATGATGTTAATTTCAATCTTTGTAAGTCTAAACAAAGATAAAGTGCAAAACATTTCTCAAAAACTGATTAGAAAAAGCAGAAGCGGGCTGCACAAAAGTGATACATATAACTTTAGAGATATTTTGACTGTATAATTTGTAAAGGCCAAATAGCAGTTGATTTGGATACAAATACACTGATAGATAGACTACAGAGAGGCTTATTCATATATTTCTTATCTCTTTTGTGACCTTTTTTCAGAAACAACCACTGTAAACACTGCACTCTCTTTAGTATGTGGCCTGCAGGAGAAGGATTAAGATAAGGTCTGGAAAGTCATGCTTTTCATTAGGAAATAAAAGTTCTACTTAACAGAAAAGTTTTGCATTCATTTACAAACAGCAACATATCAATTTTCCTTCAGACCAGAGTGCTCTGAGGTTGTACTTTAATAACTTCATAGGTATTTTTCAAGCTAAGCACGAGAATCTTGACCTTCACCAAAACACACTGCAACTCTTACATCTGTTCAGAAAGGCATCTATGTTTTTGTTTTTCCGTAGGGCAGGATAGTTCAAATCATGAGCCAACGCGTTCATGGAATCCTGAAAGACAGAAAAGACAAAAAAGAAAATCAATGAACCCTTGACAAATACACAGAAACTAAAAGGTTTGGATTGGATGTATCAAAAACCTTATTCAATAAGAAGTTTGCCTCTTAAACTAACCACTACAGTGGGGAAACAAAAGTCATTCAACCTTAGAATTACTTCCTTAAAATTGAGAAATATTTAAATATAGTTTCACAGCTGATTCATTCAAGTTTCATTTATGTTGGGAAGGAAGGAAGGAATATTTTTTTTATGATTCTCTTGTTAATGTGTCAGGACAAATCTTGTTAGTTAGCAACCCTGACCTTCTGCTGACTGATAAAAGATTAAAAAAACTGAATGAACGGAGGATGCAAGTAAGGAAGGAAAGAATTACATTTTTGTGATTCATGTGCTCCTCCATGCAACATTAAGGGTAGACAAAATGAGACTGCTAATGTGCAGCACAGCAATACAATGACAGGAAGACAATGGAGGTTGGGATGTAAAGACATAACAAGTCACACAACAACAGTAACTACTCAGATGATGCCTTTACAGCCCCCCCTGCTCAAACACACACACTATCACCTAGGTTAACCAACGCATGCTCTGGCCAAACAAACACCAACTCCTCCCAGTGGCTTAACCCAGAGGGCCGGGGGCAGCATCAGACTAAAAGCCGGGGCCTCAGTAGTGTCATCGGCGCTTAAATCAGCAGTGTTGAGTTTCACATGGAAACCAAAATGTCTCTGTGATCTGAACGCATGAGGCTGGCAGGGCAGTTGGGCGGTGGGTGGGGGGTGGGGGTGAGGGGGTGAAGGTTATGACCTTCTGTTCCTCAAAAACACAGGGGTCAAGTGGAGCATTCGCGGTGCGCTGTGTGTGGTGTGTGTGTGTGTATGGGGTTTGGGGAGTTGAGTCTTTAGTGTCTTTTGGACTGTGTGTTCGGGGACATGTGCGTGGGTGGGCAGGGGCATGTGGAACAATTCTGTACCTTTAAATAGCAGCTGTGCGGAGAGATCTCCCCCCCACCGCAGACGGGTGGAAATAGACCTGAAGGCTCAGAAGCTATTGTGGGACAAACAGCTTATGGGTCTGGATTCAGGCTGAGCGCTCCAGGATCTGTGATCATTTTACACAGTGTGTGTGAAATGGTGTTTGAGGAGGAGAGTGGTGTGTGTGCGTGTGTGTGTGTGTGCGTGTGTCGCTGTGCTGTGTGTGTGTTGTAATGGCCACGGTTACTGCAGTAGAGAGGGAACTCTGTTTTCAACAGTGGGCCGTGTTAACATTTGAATCTTATGGAAATATAATCTAATTCTAGCAGATTCAAATTAAGCATTTGGAGTGTGTGTGTGTGTGTGTGTGTGTCATACATCCTTTGGCTTTCATAGAGCATAAGAAACCTCCAAATTAATTAATATTATTATTATAGACAGATAATTTATTGGCTATAATTTAATTATTGGGGTAATTTATAATGACACACATTATTGGCAGATAATTTATCCGCCCTGATAATTACCATGCATCCCGAGTGTGTGTATGTGTGGGTGTGTGTGTGTGTGTAGTAGCTGTTGCCTCCTTGTACCTGAAACCAGTTTTTACGGGTTTTTCAACGGGTAAATCTGCTCATTTTTAATTAAATCATCTGGAACACAAAATGGTGGTTCACTCAGTAAGAGTTTAGAAGTAGACTAGGTTTGAGGTTCATTGATATCAAAATCTTGTCATCCTCGTCAAATCTGTCCAGAATGCATCGATTTCAAGTTCCAAAAGTTATGAATACAGTCATTTAATATGTAAAAACTAACACTAAAAACACTATAGTTCAGGAGGTTGCTGAATAAACTCAAATGTGGAGTTAGCGGACAGCTACAGGAGCTTTCCTTACAATTTTTTCGTTGGAGGAGTTGAGGAGTCTTGCAGACAGTTTGTTTGTACAAGAATGATCTGCAGCATAACACCAGTAAAACAGAAGGGTAGGTGAGAAACCAGAGATGGTGCGCTGTTACGGGAAATTATGATATTATTAATCTGGACAACGATCACAATGGTTATCCTGTAATTCCCACCACTGTTTACATCATACAGTCAGCCCATGTTATCATGTGGTGTGAAGCGTTCAAGGTTTAAATCTCTCTCTCCACTTGATTTGAGTCTCAGACCAGTCAGTGCTGAAGACAATTCCAACTTCTGGAATCTGGACAAATCTGAACATGATCCTGTAGTTCGGGCTTGGTTGAGCGTCCTCTCCGCCTTAGACAACACCTCCCACCTCCTCCGCTGTGAGCTGATACTGCCTGAGCACATTCAGCAACCATGGAGAGGCTCTCACACTGCGTCAGAATGTGAACTGCATCCCGTCTCCGCTGATAGAAAAGGGTTTTGAATAAAGGTGCCTCCCCTGATACAATCTAGATTCTTCACATTACATTCTAAACAAAGGAGATTTTACATACCTCTGGTACATATTTGAATGTTAGCTACCTCTGTTAATCATTTTATGTTTGAATACTAACAATAAAACACAGAAGTAGAAAAAGACACACATAATGCCTCCATGTTAGTTAGAACATACTGCTTGTATGCTACTGTGCTTATAGTCATATAGCTTGTTTACATGGTCTCTGACACATCCTGCGATTATGCTAAGCCCTGGTTGGCAGAAGAAAATAAAAAATAAAATACTACTAGATGATTATTTCTATCCATTTTTGATTGATTGATTATTAGATTTAGAGTTTAAGTCTATATAAATGTCAAAAAATGAGAAATTTCCATCTCAAGAGCCTAACTTGATGCCTTAAAATTGCTTATTTTGTCTGACCAGCAAATCAAGTCACATTTTAGAAGCTAGAACCAGCAAATGGCACTTGACAAACAATAACTCAACTGTCAAATCACTGATTAATTTTCTAATAAAACGTATCATTACAGCACAACACATAAACACATTAACAAATAATTAAGTATGAATGTTCTGACTGAAAATCATCACCCACGCATGTCATTTACGGATTACTTAGTTAGCAAACACAAGCTTTGGCAAGTGTTCAGTGACTACAACGCTCGGAATAACCACAATTACACTTCTTATAACTTTCACTTGCGTATCTTCTTAAAAGCTTCACAGACTCAGAACTGAATCCTTTGTTCTACAGAAAAAACGCTTAAAAAAAAAAAAAAACATCTTTTGTGCACACACAACAAAAATGACTGTGGACAAACAGGAAATAGTGATGTGAAGTCACAGCAGGTCAGCCCCATCTCAATTCCAGGAAGTGACTTCAGCTTCCTGTCTGGTATCTCCCTGCATTAGGCAGCACGGTGACCATTGTTGTGTCCCTACAGAACGGCCGGGAACCAGACCATAGTGATAAAACTGAATAGTGAGTTTTGGATGAACAGTCGTGGACTGAATCACTCCGATTATATCTTTGTACGACATAAGTTGGGGTTCACTCATGTGAAGCTGAGAGCGGTGGCTTTACACTGGACTGACTCACCAGTGCTGAGAATAGACATGGTTCCTCAAACAGGAAATATTACAACATGGAGCAGCAATTTAATATAAACAACGTTTAGTGTAGATCAGCTCTTCTTTAACTGCCTCGTCTTCATCAGGTTGACATTTTGACCCCAATAATGAAACCTGGGCATGACCTGCCTGGGTTGCTCTTTGCACCAAATGTCACAGAAATAACCTGACTGATAACCACTGCTGGTTCCGTTAATAACAAAGTCGTATAAAGCAACAGCGAAAGTAAACATTTTCCCATTAGATCTGTTTCCTGTTGAGCAAAAAACCGAGACCATGCAGAAAAGCATGTTCATCCGGCATTAGGCTTTAACATACTTCCATAAGTGGCTGTGTGCATTGGTTGTGGCCTGGTGTGAGATCCTGTTAAAAAAAGAAGTAATGTCCAGAACAAAAAAGCTGCTCCGTGTCAGCTCAGAAATGTGTCTCTGTTGTCAGAGGTTGGGCCAGAGGAGTTCAGCAGTGGCATTAGTTTTTTATTTTTATTTTTTTTATTTTTTTTTTTAAATCAAAGTTTTGCTAAGTACATTCTTAGGACAGGTCAGAGGGAGGGCATGTCAATTAGAGGCCAGGCTAAAGGACTCAATGATGATGGAGTGGCAGGAAAAAGATAAATGGGTGAACTATCAATTAGATCTCAGGGAAGGGCACTGTTTGCTTCTTATGTCCTTTAATGGCTTTCAGTTCAGCTTAATTCACCTTTTAAAATCCCATCACGTCTGCTTGTTATAAAACTCCCCTCCCATCATATCTATCAAATATAGCAATAGTGGGTTCAACACAGGAAACTACAGCACTCGTTGAGGTGGGAATGATTAACAACCTGAGCTTTACACATTGCTATCTCAAACATTATAAAGAGTGCCGTCCAATTATTCACTCACACAATAACTATTAGTATTCTTTAGATTGTGTAACTGGATTAGATTGATTTCTTCACTCCAGCTGTTCTCTGAGACAAGAGGCATAATAATTAACCTACTTAGAGCACAGCTATGTGTGTCACTCACTTGTCTGATTGTGACACCTACCCTGAATCAGACCCTGAAGGTAAATGCAAACTCACCAGTAGGGTTTCCAAGTTTAGAACCGACTGTTGGTTCCTCATCAGGGACTCCAGCTTCTTCAACCGGCTCTCCAGTCTGCTCTCCGCTCCAAGCATGATTACAGCGCAGTGTATCCAGCTCAAATGACATGAAACAGCAACAAAAATAATAATACAAAAACACCCGAAGGCCTGGTTTTTTGTTGTTGTTGTTGTCCCGGGTAGAGCGCACTCCGCTACTGCTTGGCTCAGCTCCTCATGTCAGCTCTTCTGTAAACTGCTGCTTGAGTCAGTCAGGTTAATTATTTATCCGCAGCCAAAGTGCACTGTCTGTCTCCTTTTTCATTAATGGCTCGCAGGAAAGTGAAACCCCCGGGCGGATTGTTGAGAGCACGAATGGAGACGCGCTTCACTCTCAGGTGAGCCCCGTCCGCTCCCAGGTAGGCTACAACAAAATCTGATCCGACCGCAACGTGTCCAACCTGTAGGGCAGACCGCTGTCAAGGTACAGAGAATAAAACAGCACCACTTCCGCTTACAACTGTCAAACTAAAACTCTGATAGAACTTTTTGTACTGAAGAACACGTAAGACTTATAAAACACCTAATAATATGTCTATTATTTAAAATATAAATAATAGACATATGCAAAATGATATAGCCTAGTATAATACTATATAGCCTACATATTTATTAATAATGAAGAAATATTTTAAATATATATAATATTTTTATTGGCTATATATAACTAAATAAAATAACTTTAAATTCAAGAAAAAAAAACTAATTAGTATAGTAAAAGTTTAGGAAGTAAAAACATATTATTCGTCAACATTTCTCTTTGTTTTTAATGTTCCTATTTGTATGTGTATTTTACATCAGTTGTGAAGCACACTGTGCATCTTTTGTATGAAGTGTGTTATATAAATAGAGTTTCGTGTCTGGACTTTTAAAATTTCCCAATACGATTTGAAGTAAAACATGTAAAATAATAAAATGCTGATAACAATAAAATAGCGACAAAACGCAACGCCACTATAATACAGCATAATCGCGCGATCAATGCTTTTATTTTGAAGGGAAAGCCCTATATCCGGTGTTATACTGCTTAACTATAGTTGACTTGACAAATATAATACCATATCTGCTCCCTTCTCTATTTTCCTGTGTAGTGATAAGTGTTTTAAGCAGTTTTTATGTTTCTGTTTTACCCACTGAAAGCTGCCCCAGGCGAGGGTGCCACTGCACCCTAAATACCCCCAATCCAATAGTAAGCCCTTACCAAGCCGGAATATCTGTTCTCTTATCTCATTCATCTATTTTACCGTCACAGCTCAGGGCCTCGACCAACTTCCAGTATTTTAGGAATGCTGATGCGCTGCCTTGCAGACACGTTGGCCCTAAAAATAGACATTTACAGGGAAGCGTGTGTGTTAGTAATTCCCTACTGCTCAAAGTCTGCATAATAATTGTATGTATGTAAATTAATTAGGCTAACATAGGCCTACTTTAAGATTTAGAAGGTTACAGAACAACAACATATAATTTCTTAGGTAAAAACGAGATACACATACACGTTTTCTTGCTCTTAGAATAACTTTTATTTATTTTACTTTACAAAGAGGTCTCCAACAAAGCTCTTGGTTACTGAAACTATATTCAAACACAATCTGTGAATAGTCTATTCAGACAGTGGGCTAAACAGGGGAGGTCATAAAGCACCAATGAATTTCAGGCAACAACAGCAACAAAATGTCTGACACAAAAGTATTTGTCCAAACATTGAATTAACACACATCTTTTATCAGGTCAGAAATGGCAATGATTAAAATGTGCAATAAAACCAACAATGGCAGTCTTAACAATGTCTTTTTTGGGCCTCTGGCGTCAGAGTAGAGGACTGGTTGTTGACACTGCAGCTGTATGCATGGAGTGATGTCATCACTGACTCATACAAGCTGTTGACAAAGTCCCCTGGCCAGCCAAGGATGACACTAACATAATGGCATGACCTGTGGTGAAGATGTAGGCTGGAATGAGTGGGGAGAAATGTGTCGCTGCTGTGGGCACACACAAACACACAAACTGATGCATGTAGTTTTGGAATGATGGCATGGGTGGGCCACATTTGGAGTTATTCTAGGAGTAGGCTGTGATGACTACTTATCCCAGGGGTCTGTTGAACTCTTCATTAAGAAGAGGCTTTGTGAAGGGCACCCTGGGTCTTCTTGGTATGACACCGCTGTAATGATAGGCAATATTAGGATGTAATGAGAAAATAATGGCAGCAAGGTGTGGAGGAAAAGCTATACTTGGCATCGGATATCATCAGTAATCTGCCATATGGGTGTCAGCAGACTGCCTATGAGGCAGGTGCAAAGTTACAAAGGCAAACACTGCGCTCTAGTGGGCATACAGTATATAAACATAAAGGCAAGGGGCATTTAAGAGCTTCAGCACTCACAAAATACAATCATCAAAGAAAAAACAAATGAAGAAATAAAGTACTTTTTTGTGAAAATCTACAGATGCATCATCCATAAGTTAATATAACATCAAATAGTATCTGTGTAGAGTTCAACTAGAAAAACTGAAATCTTACAATGGGACAAAAGTTTAGACAAAGACTCTGAGTGATCTAGCTGGATCAAATCTCATCAGGTGTCCCCAATAGCGGGAACTGTAATACTGATCGCTGCATACTACAGCATTTGACGGTTGAGTATAATACCACATTTGGTAATATTACAAGCCTGATTTTTTTAGAATTGTCTGATCAGAGCCAGTGACGTTAAAAAAACCCCCCATCAGAATCAGGATCAGTTAAACTGTCATATGCCATGAATTTTCAGGATTCTAAAGCAAACATGCATGGCACTCATTGCTAAAAGTGATTCAAATTCTGATTTGCTATCAAAGCTTTGGCAGATCAGGTGAAAGGTGAGGGAGGGTCTGTAAATCACACATTTACGGACCAGCGTCATCAAGACGACTTAAGTGTCCACAGACCATCTCAACTACTGTATATCAGTAGGTGTTCCCTAATAAAATTATGAAGTTTTAGAGGAGGCAGAGGGAGCATCCTTTTCCTTAAAGATTGTTGCTCAGTCGTCTTTTTTTAACAGCCCAGCCAGGCTCTTTCCACACAGTGTATAAACTGCCTGAGGATAAAGTCTTAATCAAAGAATTTCTCTCCTCCCTTGAAGGGAGTGAGCAAGGTAGGGAATCACAGGCAATCTGTTGTGAGGAATCAAACCTCAGAACTAGTATGTTACCGTGTACCGTATTTAGATTGGGCGCGAGGTGGAGGGGAGAAGAGTATACTATATTCCTGGCTGTCGGTCAAAAAAATAAAAAAAGCTCCTGAAGTCTGAGCCCCCGTCGGCCAGGTAACCCAAAACCTGGAGTGGGGAGTCAGCGTGGGATATGGGGAGAGGAACAATGTGGCTCTTTGTGCAAGCCGGGCAGAGAAAACAAACCGTTTCCCCTGGAAAGAGATCATGTTCAGGCTCCATCTGAGAAGACCACACAAGGCTGATCAGAGCCCTGTCTGCTGTGTACAGCAAGAAGAGGAGGAGGAGGAGGAG